GCGCGTGTGCCTTTGCCCCCCTATTCCGGCTGACGGGAGCCTGCACACTGTTTCCCTCTCGTTGGAGTACTTCATCCTCCAGTCACGTGCGCTAAGCGCGCTTCCAGCCGTGTCTGAGGCTTGTCTTGCCGTGTGCGGTCTACTGACGCTGTAGCGTCTAGGGACCGTACCCTGAGAGGTGTCGTTATAGGAGGAATCTTCATTACTGATACCAGATGGTAAAAACAACTGCCTGCTCAGCCTCCTTGGAAGAGTTATTTTTCTTCAGACCTGAAAAGCCCAGCAACTCCTTTAATCTGATATTCGTCATCTGCTGGAATGAAGAGTGCCGTGCTCAGCTGCGCGGCTGCGTACCTCTTAGTCCTAAGCTGTGGAAGCCGCTGGGTGCCCCATAGGAGGCTTTGCCATTCTGCTCATTCCCATCTCTTCCCCTGGCCTTTTAGGTCTTGCTTTAATTTATTCCCAGAGAAGCTGGATTTTCATTAAGGTGTAGGTGTAATCTCTCCGTGCTCAAATCTCCTTTGATGTATTTTACCTTAGGTTTGTTTATTGCTTTACGTTGTTGGTCATTTGTCATTGCCTTTCTAATAGATGCTGTATTCTTGAAAAATTGAAATAGTAGTGCCTTTTTTTTTTTTTTTTGCCAGGAGGAAAGGTAGATGGTGGGTTTCTTATTTTTTATTCATTTTAAAGAAGCAGAAATTCAGCTCAGTAATGATTGTTTTCCAAAGCATAGTGCATTTTGAAGGCAGTATATGTAATAGTGACAGACGTTTTAAGTACTTTCTTACTCAGGAAAAAGAAGCGTGTGTTTGTGGGGAATGGGGAAGGTTTTGTCTTTTATGTCTCCGTTCTGCAAGAGTTACTCCTTTCGGAACAGCCGTCGTCAAACGCAGCTAGCTTAGAGTCCTGTAGCTCAGCCCCTTCATTGGTCCAAGGATGTTTCCAGAGTAGTGGTGTTACTAGTCTTGGATAATTTTTTAAGTGTTAAATAAAAAACACATCATATGTAACTTCTGCAGTGGTTTTGGGGATGAGATCATACCAGTTTATTCCTTTTGATCCCGTACTTTGGCTAAGGTAGGAATACCCGTGATCTCGGTACCTTGGCTTCTCGAGTCCCTGGCAGGAGCTGCCGGTGGTGCTGGAGCATCCCCAGCTGCCTTCTGGCTGGAGGACGGATTTTGCAGGAAAGCCATGGAGTATGCGGGGGCCTGGAGCTACGGGCTGTGAATAAATACAATAAAATAGATCAGTGGTGTATACTGCTCCAGGGCCTCTCTGCAATTTCAGGTGGAAGTTTGTTTGGAATCAAACCAAGATGACACAGGGGCATCGTTTCCTTGCAGCCAGTTCTGGTGTGGGAAACGGAAACGGTTTCTGTTACTAGAAAATGTGGTGTTGGTAACTTGAGCGTCTCGGGGATTTGAAAATGAAGTAATGCCTTTTTTGGCCTGCAGTCATCTATTAGCAAGGAAAGAAAGATTTTAATGCGTTCTGAGCTTTCTCTCTGTACCAAAGCTGTCTTCTCTCTGTAATCTCAGGATTGCTACGTGATGCTTTGCAGCTGAAGAGTGTTCAGCAGAGTAATCGGTATTGCACGGAAATCGGACTTGCATTGTGCAGGGAGGAAGGGAGTGACGGTGACTGGCTGTACAGTAGAAAGAGGTTCCTTACCAGCCCGTAGCGTGTGTCACAGCGACGGGCGATTTGAGTGTGCATGGCTCTTCAGAAACCCCGTGTCATTCACTTTGGAGAAATGCCCATGACTTAAAGCCAAAACAAAATATAGGACAGCAGAAGGCAAGGGGAAGAGGTTACAGATGATGGGGGAGACTTAGGTCAGAAAAATCCTCAAGTATTTGATGACATAAGGTCCCGTGAGCTCCTGCATTCACTGCCTGAAGCTGGAGACCCTAAAGAATTTACGGTTTAGTCTGACGTGCATATGTATGAGTGTGTGTTGTAAAGGTAATTCATGGAATTTTGATGGTTACTGTTGTTTTGTGTTGTGACTATGCTGATATACTGAAAGATCCCAGAAGAGCATGACTTGGAGAGCCAGATTCGCAAGGAGAGAGAGTGGCGGTTTCTGCGCAACGCTCGCGTCAGGAAGCAAGCCCAGAAGATCATCCAGAAGGGTGAGTGATTTCCCTCTTGCCCACGCTGCCCGCAGCTTCCTCGAGCTCCGAGCACTGCGCTTCGTCGGGATGCTGAAGTGTAAGACCCCAGTTAATGATGACCCCACGCCGACCCTCGCATTGGAAAGGCGCCTGCGCGCTCTCCGTGCGCGGGCGAGGCGACGCTGCCGTAGGGCTTTTCGCTGATGGCGACTCACCGTTCCGTTCTCAGCTGCTGGTTTCGCTCGCCAGATCAGGGGAGTGACCGCTCTAGATGTCAAATGTCTGCCTTCCCCTTTGAAAACTTAACGACGGAAAATGACCTGGTTGGTCCCGAGTGGAGCCAGAGCGTAGGGCCGGGCTGGCTGAGCAGCGCGGGCGCGGAGGAGCCTAAGAGTAATGGCTTCTTTT